ATTAACCAAAGAATAAAAAGAAAGACTCATGGACACAGGCAACAGTATGGTGATTGCCAGCGGGAAGGGGGGGATATGAGTAGGTAGAAGAAGGTAAAGAAGAGAAAAATAGTGATGGAAGGAGACTTGATTTGGGATGGTAAACACAATGCTATACAGATTATGTAGAATTTTATACCTGAAACCTGTATAATTTTATTAACCAATGTCACCACAATAAATTCAATTTAAAAAAGAGTATTATTCATGTGCTGAAAAGTAAGGAGATATAGGGATTCTTTATCCTTCAATCAAATGTATAAACTTGTATTGGGTATTTAATACATACTAGGCATTAGACTTACTCTGCTGACTGGGAATATAATTGATAAAATATATTCCTTAAGGAGCTTGTGGTCTTGTAGGCAAAACACAGAGATTCACCAATAATTAAATATGTTAACTGTTATGAAAGAGGGTTTACCAAAGACTATGAGAATAAAGAGACTGTGGTAGTCATGAAAGCTGCCTGTCCGCTGAGCATTCATATCAGGCAAAATAATCTGTTTCTGGCTGAGAGAATAGTATGTATGACAGTATAGAAAAGAAGAGGAGCATGACTTGTTTTGAAAATAGTTCAGCATGGCCAGAGATATGGGTAGATATGTGGGAGAAGAAGAGAAGAAGCTGGGGAAGTATTTGGTGGGAGGAGGAAAAGGAGCTGTTAGTGAAGGGCCCCATGTGCCTTGCTAGCGAGGTACATGCACCTCCTCCTAAAACCCGTGGTGATTATAGTGGCATGGAAGCAAGATGGTATGATTCAGAATCACCTCTGGGAAGATCACAGTGGCAGCCCTTTAAAGAATGGATTGAAGGAGAACAAGACCTCTAATAAGATCATTTGGGAGGCTGTGGCAGATCCCTAGGGAAGAGTTAAGGCTTACTGGTAGACCAAGGCTGTCATGGTGACAATGAAGATGAGGTGTCAGTGTAAGAGACAGTAAGGAGTTGGATTCTATTCGTTTTAGAGATCAATTGGTTTGAGAATTGAGGGAGGACTAACTATTCACTATGACTCTCAGTTTCTGACTAAAATGCCTGGCTATTTACCAAGAGAGGAATCACCAGAAGAGTAAGTTTGGAGAAAAGACACCAATTCCTATTGTTTGACATCTTTCCTTTAAATGAACACACCCGGAACACAGTTGGATATAAGGTTCTGGAATTTAGGAGAGAGCTGAGCTTACCTTACCAATTTGAGTATTATCCTTAACGAGTCTTTTTATAGTCATCTGCTGCCCCCATGATGACTTTTTTTTAGCATCTATCAGGGAATTACGTGCTATTTCCCCTTCATGAGACATTAGGTGATTATGATTTCTAGGGCCATTAAGGGAAGCGTAAATTGTAAGAGCCTGTGATTAGAAAATGGAAAGATGGTGTGTTCTTCTCTCAACCCTGCAAACTGGCAGAAATGAGAATCAGCAAAAGCCCCTGAGTGCTACACTTCTGAGAATGGCACCTCAGTCCCTACCCACACCACTGCAAACATCCCTCCTTCTCCTCGTCGTGGCATTTAGGTTTTAGATCTTGGACTCATCACTTTTAAGGTTATTTCATTCTGTCTCAGTAGGAGCTAAATCACTTACTTGTTTTTATAGAAAAGTAGTCAGAAATCCCCCACTTTAGGTCTGTATTGCTCCTAAATAACCTGTTGAAAAGTTGTTGATTCTAATTCTCCTCTTTACCATCTCTCATATATTGTAGTATAAGAATCGTGAAATAAGAAGAAAGGGGAAAATTTGACATCTTCAATTTATCACAGCTATATATGGAATGATATATATATATAAAGCAATACTATTAAAATTAAACATAGGTACAAATGAAATGTTCACATAAATTCAGAAAATATAACAATATAGAATGTGAACATAAAGAGGTTAATTAGTTGTCTTTATTTTATTATATAACATATTGTTGCTTTTATAAAAGCCTTTGCTTTTAGTGAATAGTCTCCATTGATTACATAAGAATTCTTTAGGCAACTTGAGTCAGGAAAATTTTTATCTTGATCTCCAAAAGGTATTTCCCCCCCAGACTTCAAAACAGCTTCTATTCACCCCATGGATATGTCATCAATCTGTTATGTGTGAATGGACACTCTTCTTTCCTGTACTTGACCAAATGTTTCATTTCCTGAAAATTAGATTACTTAAATGCAACAAACAGATGGCCAGAAAGTCTTGTAGTACTTACTCTGCCATGGAATTTATTATCTGGATTCCTGAGGTAGGACTGAGAAGTTAGCAAAAATTCTTTCTAAACATTAGTATGCTATAGATGACGTTGCAGTTATCAAGCCATTTTTAAATTAATTCAGTTACTTTGAACATTAGAAGGAAAAGGTTGAATGGCTATTTTATATAGAAGAGTTTACATATTTTATATTTTAAATAGAAAATTTAAAGTGTAAACAAGTCACATGGACCCATGTGATTGAAGCTTATCTTAGAGTTGTTCTTAAGGTATTAATAAGGTAATATGAATTATGCATGGTAACAGAAAATAATATCTTACATTTTTTTCTATTTCTAGTCTTCAAATATTATCTTCTTTAGACTAAAGAAGTATGGTATAGAGAATTTGGATAAATACAGTATGATTCCTTATATTCTGTTTTTTTTTATTATTGTCAAATGTAAAAACAAGATTGGTCATTTAGTTCAATGTAAAAATTGCAGCTCATGAGTAAGCTTTATGATGGCCTTGTCTCAACCATACATAATTAAGTTTAAAAATATGCAGAAAAAATAAAGTTGTGCTATTAGAATGATTTTTCAGCTACCACTCAATGTATTCATTAGCAAACTTGTAAAGCATAAGGTTTTTATTAGAGATTAAGGGCCAAGTACAACAAATGAATGATTTTAAACTTTTCTAAAATGTTTTATTTTACTATTTGTGTATACATGGCCTTTAGTTCAGTGCTTTCATTGAATATATATTTTTATTTATATACCTAAGTGGATTTAAAATTCTTTATCAAGAAATAACAAAATTTTCCCCTAATCCTTTTCATGAAGATGCTCTTAGAGGATATTTGTAGAGTCCTTCAGATTTACAGTGAACATGGCCCAACATAGTTGACAGGGAACAATCTTAACCTGTTCCATACTTCTGTGCTAGAACATTCTGTAAATACACCAATTAGATAAACAATTCAAGTCCAATTTTCTGAATAGGGGATGCTCCTTAAGTCATGTTGTAGGAGTAGCGAAAAGGCGTATTTGGGTGAAGGACTTTAGTACCTCCGAGAATTCAGATACTTAGAGGAATACAGGTAGAGGAACAGGAGGGTTGACATTGTATATAGGTAGGAGAGCTTCCAGCTCATCTACTGACTCTCTCCTCTCCCTCAACCTTCATAGCCTAAAACAAAGTCAGCAGAAGCAGCAGGCTGAGCTGAGAAGTGAGAGTGTGAGTTTTGTTCATTCCACCCACTCTCCACATGACCAGGAGAGAGTGACTTGGAGGCCGAGTATCTGAAGTAGCCATATTTGACCAGTTAACGGTTTCAAGAACAATAACTTCAGCCCTCTGAGGTGAAAGGCCATTGGGTAGCTGTACAGGCATCTCTTAGACCACATGCAGAAACTTGATGTTCTATGACCACATTATGCTGCATGATGGTCACCAAGGCATCAGAATCAAAGAGACTCCTCAGATATCTGAGGCAGAGATCAAAATTGCCAGGTCGTGGGAGGACACCCTGTGAGACAGGTCACCATCGTGGGAGCTTCTGCCAACCATAGTGGGGCTCCATAGCCAGGCAGTGCCAGGCTCTCCTTGCTGGTGGGCAGCACGAAGGACGACTACAATGCAGATCCACCCCCAGCCCCTTCTGCTGCCCCCCACTCAGCATTCATCTGTGAGTTCTGAATGGTGAGCCATTTCAGGTTTCAAGTAGTTTGTGCAAACTTCATTTTACATACAATTCTCTCACTCACTGAGTGTTTTTTCCCTAAAATAAAGCATTCATTAATGTTTTTCTCTGTTCAGCTGTTAGCACATTTAAGTTTGTTCCTGGTTTTTTTTTTGTTTTCTATTATTCTTTAGGTAGATTCGTTAACGTTTTTTTCCTGTTTCTCATTGAAATACAAGTGGAACATATAATCATGTTTTAAATAGCAGGATTTTTAGTTATTGTATGTAGATAAAAAAGAATAAAGGTCATCTGATCAAAGGCTTTTGTTGATAACCCCAGACAGACATTAAGACTTAAGCATCACTGCAGATGCCCGTCAAAAGTTACAAGTAATTTTGCCTGACATGTGTGACAATTAACATGTCAAGCCAAATGCAGGCTATCATTACCAGCCATTACTTTATTGTGGAAATATTTATTAGGTTCTTGAGAACAATGCAGGACTACCACCTAGCACAGTATTCTGGACAAAGCAGGGGTGCAGGAATTATTCATTTATTCATTTATTCATTTATTTATTTGCTGTTTTTGTTATGATCAGAGCTTCCATAGTAAGCTACCACAGCCTCCGCTAGCAGAGCAGTTACAAAGGGTTTTGACTAATGTGTTTCATCAGTGCAATCAGATGTACCAATTTCATCTTTTCTACATTAAATTTCTACCAAGTGTGTGAGGTGGCCTTGCATGCATATTGAAGACAGTATGCTTAATATTGGAGAGGTTCCTAAGAAGTTACAGATTTCTCAATATGGTATTCTAATTAAAACTTAATTAGCAATTCACTGTGCTGGAACTTAGGTTTTTAGCATAGAAAAAATAATTTCACTGTGCATAGAAAGTTAAGATGTATTTTTTTGGAGACGTTAAAATTTCAAAAATATAAGGTAACACATGTGGAATTTAAAGGTGTTAAAAATCTTAACCGTGGGTTTCTCCATAGCTTGTTGCTCCAGCAGTTTTGTATAATCTGTGAGCTTGCCAACCAGTATCAAAAAAATTCATTTTCTTCAAGTGCTTTATTTATCTTTAATAGAACCTTCATCACCCTGGCGTTGTAAATTTGGAGTGTATGTTTGAGACGCCTGAAAGAGTGTTTGTTGTTATGGAAAAACTCCATGGAGACATGCTGGAGATGATCTTGTCAAGTGAAAAGGGCAGGTTGCCAGAACACATAACGAAGTTTTTAATTACTCAGGTAAGAAATTAATTAGAGACAGAAACAAAGATAATATTTAATATCAAATGTTATCACTTTAACTGCAGCTTTCTAACCTTATTGTTTGGCCCCTACCTCCAAAGTCTCAACTATACGCAAAAGGTTGCAGTGGCTTATTGTATTATTAAATTTATGTCTATGGTGTCCAGAGCCCAGTACACTGAGTACTGTGTATGCAGGCCCATGTATTAAAACTATAGGACTCATGAAATTATGAAATACACAGTGGCTGAGCCCTGGTTCTTTGAAAAAAATCAATATTGGTCATTTCTGTTAGATATTGAATTCTTTTATCTACACCTGTCTTGATTGCTATATGAATGCCATAAAATGCTTCTTTTTCCATGAAAGTTTTTCCTTAGAAACCTGCTATGTTAATCTCGCTTATTTCGGTGTCTTGAGCATTAAGAAGTCTAACTGGTCCTTGTGAGCTCTCTGTTGGCATTTTAAGTTTATATCCTAGTAGAAGCCATTCTAAAATAAACTAATAGGCCAAAGTAAAATTATTTCGATGATTTTCCTCTTTATAGATACTCGTGGCTTTGCGGCATCTTCACTTTAAAAATATCGTTCACTGTGATCTCAAGCCAGAAAATGTGTTGCTTGCATCAGCCGACCCTTTCCCTCAGGCAAGTATGAAAGCCTCTCTCAGCAGAAAGTCAGCTGCTCTCTGGGGCATTCTGTCATCTTTTTCCTCAAAACCTTTATTTGTTCCTAATTTTACATGTTCATTTCCATCCATTTGTGACCCTCCTGTGGGGACGGCGGCTTTTCACTCTGGCTTCTCAGTCAGCCTGCCTGGGAGCACACACCACGCCTTCTCACTCAGCTCTGAGCTTCTGTTGTGTGCAGCCCCAGGCCAGCGCTCACAGCACCACCTGAGAGTGAGGACACTGCAGAGGCCCAGGGGTGCCCCCAGCTCTCTAATGCCGCGCAGGACGTAGAGTTCAGTATTGTTCTCAGGGACAAGTGCAAACGTTTCTTCCTTTGCTCAACTCGGAGGACGGCAAACAACTGGCCCTCTCCCTCTCCCGAGGGAGTCTTGTATCTGAAGCGACCTGCCCAAGGTGGCGGTCCCGCCTTGCCTCCTGGACACCTACAGGTCTTGCCTGGGTGCCCGTGAAGAGCTAATTATGAGGATCATATGGGTGACATGATGTGTTCTGTCCTTATCCTTCAACTTTTATTTATAAGGAACCTTTCAGCTAAGTCCATCACTTCCCTGATTTGCATGGTGCTGAACTGCCTTTTAAAACGATGTTACCCACTACTGAGTATACATATTTTCACATGTATCTCTTGGATTAGAGGGTGGAGGAGGAAGAAAATGTTTAGATGGTATTTTTATGAATGAAAACATATATCAACCACTCAATATATCAATACATAAACTCCTCTCTTCAAGTACATAAAATGGAAAACAGCTATTACTTCTACCTTGAGAACTCCATACAGCCTACTCTTTGGTAGACCTGGGCTAAGACACATACACACGATTTATGACCTCCCCATTTCTGCAAACCATTATTATCAACAGGTGAAACTCTGTGATTTTGGTTTTGCCCGCATCATCGGAGAGAAGTCTTTCCGGAGGTCGGTGGTGGGTACCCCTGCTTACCTGGCTCCCGAGGTCCTAAGGAACAAGGGCTACAATCGTTCCCTGGACATGTGGTCTGTTGGGGTGATCATCTACGTCAGCCTAAGCGGCACCTTCCCATTCAATGAAGATGAAGACATACATGACCAAATCCAGAATGCAGCTTTCATGTACCCACCGAACCCCTGGAAGGAAATCTCCCATGAAGGTAATATTCTTCATTCAAAAATAATAGTGCTTAAACCTTGTTATTTCAGTTGTTAATTATTACATTTCTAAATGCTCACTGTGACTTGCCCATTGGAGTAAGGGGACACATTGATTGGGGTGGATTGCGAAGTGAAGGAAATGGCAACCAGAAATATCTTCTGATGAAATGTGCATGTGTTATAAATGCACATTAAGAGGTAAATGTAACAAAGAGAAATTGGTAATGTTTTGGTATATTTTCTTAGAATATATAAATATTTATACATTGTTGTATTAGTAATACCTAATCTTTACTAAGAGTAATCTTCATATACCTGTTTCTGTATTAAGCACTTTTAATACATTATGGACACAAGAACGTTATGAGCCTGATATTTTAATGATTATATTACTTACAGTTGTATACCAAGTTCTTTGTACTGACTTCCATTGTATGACATTAGAGCATGTATGTTATTTAGCCGTTTCCTTGGTATACTTAGTATTTAGGTTGTTTCTATTTTTTTCAGTATTAGATAATCTTTATATATAATTTCTTATATGTATCTTTGATACATTTTTGATAGATTACCTTGGCAGTGTTGCATTATTTAAATCTAAATTATTCTTTACTAGAGGCTCGGTGCACAAAAATTTGTGCACTCGGGGGGAGGGGGGACATCCTTCAGCCTGGCCTGTGCCCTCTCGCAGTCTGGGACCCCTCGGGGGATGACCACCTGCTGGCTTAGGCCCGCTCCCTGGCGGATTTGGCCTAAGCTGGCAATCAGACATACCTCTGGCAGCCTGGGAGCCCTCGGGGGATGTCCACTTGCCAGCAGGGAGCAGGCCTAAGCTGCAGTCGGACATCCTTAGTGCTGCTGAGGAGGCGGGAGAGGCTCCCACCATCACCGCTGTGCTGGCAGCCGTCAGCCTGCCTTTGGCTGAGCAGAGCTCCCCCTGTGGGAGCTCACTGACCACCCGGGGGCAGCTCCTGCATTGAGTGTCTGCCCCCTGGTGGTCAGTGTGTGTCATAGTGACCAGTCATTCCCAGTCATTCTGCTGTTAGGGTCAGTTTGCATATTACCCTTTTATTATATAGGATAGAGGCCTGGTGCATGAGTGGGGTCCGGCTGGTTTGCCCTGAAGGGTGTCCCGGATCAGGGTGGGGGGCCCGCTAGGGTGCCTGGCCAGCCTAGGTGAGGGGCAGATGGGTTTTTGCAGGCTGGTCACATCCCCTTCATGGTGGGGGTCCCCACTGGGGTGCCTGGCCAGCCTGCGTGAGGGCCTGATGGCTGTTTGCAGGCTGGTCAAGCCCCCCCAGTGGGGACCCTCACCCCATGGAAGTTTGGCCAGCCTGGATGAGGGGCTGATGGCTGTTTTCAGGCTGGCCACACCCCCTTTAGGGTTGGGGGTCCCCACTAGGGTGCCTGGCCAGTCTGAGTGAGGGGCTGAGGGCCGTTTTCAGGCTGGCCAAGCCTGCCAGCGATGGAAGTTCCCAGCCTCTCCTTTTTTTCTTTCTTTCTTTTTTTTTTCTGGGATTTCTTTACCTTCTATAATTGAAATTTTGTTGCTTTGAGTGGAGCTCAGAGCCGGTGGCAGGCGGGAAGCTTGGCTTTCTCCATCATTGGGGCAACCAAGCCTCCTGCTTACTCCAGCTCCGTGGCTGCCGGCCGCCATCTTGGTTGGGTTAATTTGCATATAGTTGCTCTGATTGGCCAGTGGGCGTGGCTTAAGGCATAGCGAAGGTGCGGTCAATTTGCATGTTTGTCTTTTATTAGTGTAGATTAATGTTCCTTTCTTAAAGGAAGGATACAGTTTTAAAAGAAGTGGTGGGGGTTGTGAGGGCAGAGAAAATGCTTCAGAAAAAGGTTCCTCAGTGAATGTGCTTTGGAGTTTTAATTCTCACAGAAACCTTGTAATATAGGTTTGACTATCAGACCCATATTTTAAGTGAGAACACTGAGGCAAAAGAAGTGTCACCATAGGCCAAAATCACACAGCTGGGAAGTGGGAGAGCCAGAATCCCTAAGCAGGCAGTCTGCGTACATTTCACACCGCTGATCCTGCTTCTCTTTTAGTTTTCAGGCAACACCTAGTTCTAAGTTCGCTTAAATTTTTCAGTTTTTGTCCATTGAGTATGATGTTGGCTGTGGGCCTGTCATATATGGCTTTTATTATGTTGAGGTATGATCCTTCTATTCCCACCTTCTCAGATTGCTGTTAGTATTAAAGGCCAAGAGCTATCTATCATCAGGGCTTTGAATTACTATTAGCAACAACTTTTTTAACATCCTTAATTAGTTGTAAATCATAGTTAGATGGATAGATCTTAAAGGAATCTGTGCCCTTCAGATAAATCCTACTTGGTCATGGTGTATGGAAATATTTAGGATAATTCAACGGGCAAAAGTGAAGGGGTTATTTTTCAGAAAGCAGAAAAGAGGGAATTATCACGTAACCTTGTGACCTCTAAACATGGTTACTATTATATTTGATAACTTCAAACCAGAAATCCAGTAAAATACTTGATGTTTTTACTACAGTGCAAATCAGGAATATCTCTGAGGCCAAGCATTTTCCTGTTATGCAGGAGTAGAACATTAGAAAAATACCTTCACATTTAATCTTTTTTATCTTGAAATAGTGGAATACTTTTTTTTTTCTATCCCAGGTGGCACTTCTCAGCAGTGGGCCAGCAAGGGACAGGGGCCCCTTCACAACTCATGAACATGAACATGTCAGAGCTGGAACCCTTGGGTTCATGGAATGTAACCCCTCTCCAGTTACACATGAGGAAACCAGGACTCAAAATACGGGTGCAGGTCGCTAAGACCACATGGGGAGTCAGAAGCAGAGCTGGAGTGAGAACCTGGGCCTCTGAGTTTAGGCCTAGGATCTCCCATTACCTAGAGCTTCCTCTCTGTCCTAACCCTGCCCGAAGAAGAGATGACATTAGCCATTGATGCCCAGTGTGTGTACATTCCAGCATCCCTGGGTGACACAGTGCTGCTTGCTCATGACAGCATAATTACAGAAAACTGCTATTTATGGGGGTGCTACCATGTTCCCCAAGCTGTGCTAGGACCTTTTCAAACATCATGTCTGAGCCTCCCATTATAGAGATGGGCAAAGTGACATACAGGGAGATGTACCTTGTCTGGGGTCATACAGTGAGGGCATGACAGAGGCAATGTCTGTCTAACGGAAAAGTCTCCACTCCCAGCCACGAACACACACACACACACACACACACACACACACACACACACACACACCGTGGCCTCTGAAGAACAGGGTAGCTCCTGTGAAGAGGACAGTGGTTTCTCCCTGGCCTCCTCCCTCTTTGCTCCCCAGGCCCACCCCGCAGCCTTACCGTCTTAGAGGAGCAGACAGGTTACAGAGGGACCCTGACCACCTGCCTTCTCCAGGGAGCTGGGCCCTTCCCAAGGTGGTTTATGGCTTTGGTGTTTGTGGCCATAAACCGACCTTCACATTCTGGGTGTTGTGGACCTCTCAGTGGTGCCTGTGGCACAGACTCATCTCTGTCAGGGTTCAGGAGGCTGGCACACTGTGGAGGGCACAGACAGGATGCCTGCCCGCTGGTCAGCCTTGCCTGGGGTCTGCTCCATGCCCTGCGCTGGGCTCTGGACACAGGGTGGTCCAGACCAGGTCTCTGTCATTCAGGCCAGAGGAAAGGGTGTCCCGGAGACAAGGCTGTAAGGAGAGACCTGGATCCTAGAACTGACCCTGCCCCAGAACATCCGAGCCCTGAAGGATGCTGGCACAGGTGGGCACAGGTGTTCTAGGCCGGGGGTACCGCCTTTGTAAAATGCCAAGCCTGGAGGGCAGAGACATGTCAGGGAAGGCCCACTGGCTGGGCATAGGTCACCGGAAGCCGCAAGAAGGCGCAGGGTGGGGGGCGATCAGTTGTCCAGGGGCTGGAGCACCAGGCAGGTTCCTGGGTTCATTCACCCCGAGCAATGCGGAGCTGGGACACACCCATGTACCTGGAACTACACCCTTCGCCTACAGCCCTTGGGGTGCGGGGAGCACGGGGTCAGGTCCAGGTCTGATGTGGACGCGCGCCCTGTCCCCCGCAGGCCTCCTGGAGCCGGCACTTCGAGTCCTGGCCTTGGTGTGACTTGCTGCGGGGCTCCGGCCCTTCCCTCCGTGGGCCTCTGTTTTCCCATGTCCAAGGTCTCTGAGAGTCTGGGATCTCAGTCCTGTGTGCTCGGGGCCCACTGGCCGCCACGCAGGGTGGGGCAGCGCCCAGGTTTCTGCAGCGTGCCCACAGTTTGCCCCCTGCCCCCTCCAGCTTGGAGTACATTTTTTGTAGTGGAACAAATGGTGCCCTCTCTTATCATGGAAATGTGCTGGCTTTGTGTGCAGATATCAGCCAGAAATGAATAGCTGTATATTATGAAGGTTTAATTACCATTGATAATAGAGACCAGAGACATAGATATCAATAGCTCTAGACACTCTTCTTGGGAAACCACGATGTTCATACATCATAAGTAACGCAAAAGTAAAGGACAACACGTAAAATGTCTTTAAAGAACTTGAAAACTTGTTGGAGAGATGAGTTACATAAATTTGGGAAAATGATAATTTATTTCCTTGAATTGTTAGCGAGGTATAAAATCAGGGTCTCCAAGGTCAGAGGGAGAAGAATCACTGTGTGTGGGGACTGACCAGCAGCCCCTGAAGGAAGGATGAACAGATTACTCAGACACAGTTTGACTGTGAAAGAAAGGACTAAGGGGCCCCTGCTCTAGTGGCCAGGCCCGCCCCTATTGCCTGCCTCCTTAGGCCTTTATTGGAATTTTTATCTTTAGATACAATCAGTAGGGTGAGTAATCTTGGGAGGACACATGTGTTTACATTGTCCTCTAGGCAAGGGCATCGAGGGAGTAAGCATAAGGCTTCCAGTAAACACCCAGGGGTGTGTTCCTGCACAGGCTTGTTTGGAAAGGTCAAGGAATAATCAGGGGCGCTGCCTTCGACTCCCCTAAGTCT